TCATCTGACCTTGGGCACATATATAGCCTCTCTCTGCTTTGCTTTCTTCGTGGATGAAAAGGGGATAAAAGAGCAAAGTTAGTATTTGAAAAGAACTTAGTACATTTCCTGATACACAGTTAATATGTTTATACATCTCCAGTTCCCCAAAGATCGTCCTTAACACAGAGTCTTTAAATTTGTTTTCCATGTGTAGGGAGAATAGTCCTCCAAACTCTAGCCAAAGTAACTGGATCAGAATAATGGTGGAGTACTGCTTGGCTGTCTAATGGGCCTATCCAGATGCCAAGGCTGTGTGCCAGCCCATGGGATAACAAAGTCATTTACCACTGTGACTTTATGGTGCTTGGAGAGATCAGCAGAGTTCCTGATAAGAGTAGGACAACTGTTGGTTTTGCTTTTGCTTTTTGCTATTTACCTTAGAACCTGATAAAACCGGTAGTTTAGCAAAGAAGGGTGGCAATACAGTCATCCACTGTGCTCTGTTAATAACCCCTAATAAACTCACTTACTCACCAAAGTGGACTTGTCCAAGTCATTCTTTGGACTATCAGTACCCTAATCAATTTGGAGGTATATGCTTTTTTATATCTCTTCAGAAAATGTTTTGATTACTACAATAAAATCTTCTAACATTCTATTCTGCTATTTGTAATAGCCTGGGACAGAGAGATGACTTCAGCACTTTGGATGTCCTTTCTTTGCAATATGACTTTGCCCCTGTACATAAGTTTTCAGAGTTTGCTCCACTCAGGGGTCAGGGGGCACTTTGGCACTTTTGGATTTAGGTATGTTAGCTTTATGTGGATCATTAACTTTAGGAGAAATAGTAACCCTGCAACCCTATTTGTTTTTTTCCACAAACCTGCAAAGGAAATTGCTCAACTTACTTTTAAGACATTTATTTGCATTTATTCATCTAAAATTTTGAGCCCTATGTCAGGTGCTGTTTGCCAGCCTGTGGTTAGAAGGTTGAACAAGAAAACAGTGGTGTCTGTCCTATAGATCTTATTTCTTTTTGAAAGTATGCATATGTATAAGTGAAAGAAGTGTCAGGACAGTTATAAATGATTCATTTCTAGACACAGGATAAAAGACATCTATCTGGCTTTGCCTGTGCTCGACAGGGTTACAAATCAGTAGAGATCTTGTAGGTTTCAGGGTTGGAAAAACAAAAGTAGAAGCAAGATCTCAATGAGAAGGGAGGTGCAGAGAAATGAGCTTGACAAAGGGACAATCTTCTCTTTAAGACACTCAGTACAATTTGAAATTGCACAGAATGAGAGATTAAAAAGTAAAACCAGATCATGCCACCTTAAGAAGGGCATATATAT